ACTTTGTTATGTGAATATTAACACTAAAGAGTTAATAATAATTTCTAAAAGATTAAAAAGGAATGTATGACATCCAAACTGGTAAAGAGAGGAGGTAAAATAAGCTCATTCAAATCCAATAGATTGAGGGTGGCCGAACTAAGGCCAAATCTGGCCCATTGCCTGTTTTGGAATAGCCCATGAGCTAAGAATGGTTTTACATTTTCATGGTAATTTTTAAAAGCCTCAAAGAAGGATAATATGCCCTATAGTGACTATACATGTCAAAATTGCATGATATTCAAATTTCAGTGTCTATAAATGAAGTCCCATTGGAAACAGCTACACTCACTTGTTCACATCTTGTCTGGAAAAGTTGCAACAGAGCCTGTATGGCCACCAAGCCTAAAATATTCACTCACTGGTCCTTTACAGAAAAAGTTTTCCGACCCCAGCAATAGTCAGCAGAAGAACAGAAGAGTATAGCAGCAAGATGTTCAATACACACTGAACTGTCACAAGTCATTTCATCACCATGACTGGGACTGATAAGAACCCTGAGGCCTGTTTCCTGAAATCTTTCATGTTAAGTGAAAATGTGCAACAGACCATTGGAATAGAGAGTGGAGAGGAGTGAGATCAGGTCTCTCCTCTCAGTTCCTTTGGGTTCCAGCTTTGCCTTTGCCCTCTCTGCCTTTGAATGCACCCACAGGGGTGACCAGACTGAGCGGCAGGCTGAGCAGCTTGGCCTGTTTGGGGGGCCTGGGCTGAGCAGAAGCCAACTCTCTCTCTTCAGTTGCAGGGTGCCATCATGGTTGCTTCCTGCATCCAGATACTGGTGGGATTCTCAGGCCTCATCGGCTTTCTCATGCGCTTCATTGGCCCCTTGACCATTGCTCCGACCATTTCCCTGGTGGCCCTGCCTCTCTTTGATCCTGTTGGCAATGACGCTGGAATCCACTGGGGGATTTCCTTCATGTAAGTACTTTCTGGGGAGGAGGCCCAGCCACGCTTTCTTTGGTGGAAGTACAGCTAGTAAGAATAACATGAGTCCAGGATGCCAGTTTTCATTGAGCTGGGAAAGGGTGCAAAGAATGGCCCCAACTCTTCAGCACCATTGTAGTCTAAGAGGGATAAAGGCCCATGATACCAGGAAGCAGCCAGGAGGCCTTGGGGCTGTGCGAATGTGAAGGAGAGGTGGTCAGCTGGGAGGATCAGGAAACAGGAAATGAGGCCTCAGGCATTTAAACAATTTTGGAGGGACCTGGGAGTGACACTGATATGCTCAAGTTCGGGACCCCCAAAAGACCACCAGAGACCAAGATCGATGTAAGCAGCAAAGAGGTGTTCATTGCGAGCTAGCTCGGTCCTCTGCGCACACAGCAACTGGTGACGCTGAGAGGCCCCGAGCCCAGGGTTTGCAGCAGTTTTATACACTCTTTGGGGGGAGGCAGGGACTTCACATACAAATCATCACACACCGCGGGAAAATCATAAAACAACTCTAAAACATGATTAGCACATTCACTGACGGGAACAAGTTGGGTAGGGGTGATTGGCTAGTACAAGAGGGGGACTTGTTTGAACTGATTGGTTTAAGCCACGAGGGGAGTACATGCTGAACTACATGGTTTCCCAACATGTTATCAACCACCATAAACTACTGGGGGTCATCTGGCATCCTGGGTATTTTCTATGTCTCATGCTGATTGTTGGTTGCTAGGGAGTTGCTATGGGTCCTCACTTAGCCTGAGTCAGGGACACCTGGCGCCACAGATCTCTCCTGTTATTGACAGACAAACAACTCAGCAGGGTGGCTATCTGTCTAGAAGTGCTCTGTGGGTTTTTCCAAGGACAAGGGTCACACCCCCTTCCTTGGACAGGCTTTGCTCTAAGGTAGAGGCTGGTTTCTAAAAAATGGAGTCACATCAGTTTCTCAACACTGTCATTCACTCTGCCTCTTGTGGTCTGAGGTGAGGTGTGGGAATCATCAGAACTGCACCAGACCTGCCTGAGAGATGTGACAGTCCCTATGGGCCTCAGTGACTCTGTGTGCTGCCAACAGCCTGTTCCTCTCAGATACACCAGAAACAATGGCATCCTATCTCACAAGTCCTCTTCAGCCACAAGCAGTTCCAACAGGGACCTCTTTTCAGAGATAGCAGGTATCTACATATGGTGCAGAGGGCCACCAGCTGGAGCCCCTCCTGGTGAGGACATTGATCCCAGAGACACCTGGTGGCTCAGCTTCTCAGACCACCTCCAAAGCCTCCTGAGCCCCTGCTCAGGACAAGTCCACTTTCCAGCTTGGGTATGCTTGTTTGTTTCAGGACCATCTTCCTCATCATGCTGTTTTCTCAATTCCTGAAAAACATCCCAGTGCCTGTGCCTGTGTATGGTGGAGAGAAGAAGTGTCACACCTCCAAGTTCTACCTCTTTCAGTTCTTCCCTGTAAGAAGCACCTCTTACCCACCCTCTTCTATTCGAAATTGATGTACCTGGAGATTGTCGGCAACTTCCCTGTGCCCAGGTGGCCCCCAAATCAAAGCTCCTCCATCTGTGGTGGCCTCTTCCTAGGAGGAAGAAAGAGTCCCAGGTCTGTGGGGTGTACTTCCCGGCTGTTGGTGGCATTGCATTCTAGGTCCTTCCTCACAGGCTTCTCTCCCAGGAGCCCTAGTCGCTGTTCTGGGCACTGTTGTGTCTTCTTGTCCTCATACAAGGTACTGGGAGAGACAGCCAGGTTCACCTCTAATGAGGTAAAACTAAGGGTCTGAGCCAAATTGCTTAGATCAGGGTATTTCACAATGTCTCACGGGCAATCCAACTGCTGGTGAGCAAGATGGCGCCTCCCTTCCCAGAGCCTTCTTTGTTGATTTCACACCAAGCTGTCCAGTGTGTAATTGTCACCATAGCTGTGTCTTCAGGTTTAACTGAGAACTGTGTTTCTCAAAGTACAAAGAAACTTCCATATAATGATCTTATTGACCTTTCAAAAACCCTGCAGTCCAATGATTCCAAAATTCGGTGTGCATGTGAATCACTTGGAAAATTCACTAAGAATATGGAGTTCTGGGGTCCCACCACCAAATATAAAATTGATATACCTGTGGACCTCACTTTCAGGCCCTGTTTCAGGCTCTACAAACAGTGATTTTAATTCCATGGTAGAGATGAGAAAACTAAGTCTCAGAGGGTTTGCTCCCGGGTCACATGATTAGCAATCAGTGGAGAGAGAGCAGGTGGGAATCCTTCTGCTCCATGCTGTGCCCAGTGTGCTGGATTTTCCTGCCCCATAGTCTCCTCCCATAGTTTGTTTTGTGCTTCTATTTCCAGCCTGTTTCTTTAATGTGCTAAGTTGCCCATGGTCACAGCAGGTTCCTGTTGTCACTAGCAGGGTGGTCACCCAGCACTTGCTCATCTGAGCATGTTCCTGGACCCCCCCTGAGGGAGGAAAGGGGGCAGGAGCTGGCAGAGCTGAAGGGAGACTCCCTTTGGCAGGTGCTGCTGGCTCTCTGCATTTCCTGGTTCATCTGCTTCGTGCTCACGGTCACCAACACTCTCCCCTCATCCCCCATTGACTATGGGTACCTGGCCCGCACTGACACCAAAAGCAATGTCCTGCGCCAGGCCCCTTGGTTCCGCATCCCTTACCCAGGTAAGGAGAAGATAGGTGCCCTTCTAGCTTGGGCCACTGGATCTGTGTGGCTCAGGTCATGGGATGGAGAGTAGAACAGGGCTGGGGGAGGGATTGATAAGGAGAGATAGGCCCCAGGGAGTCCATATTTGACTCCTAAAGAAGAAGAGACTCCAGGTTGTTATAAGAATTCCTTGGGTGGTGGACAAAGGCTGGCACTCCCAGACTTCCCTCAAAGCTGGGCTACATCCCTTGTCCGCCACATTGCCCAGAACCTTAAGCCTGGGGGTGGGTAGAGGTGGGAAAGAGAGAGGCCTAGCCTCCACCTGGACTTTGTGTTTCCTCATGGATTCAGTGGATCTCACGCCAGGAGGCTCAGGACTGAATCAGAGCGTTTCTGGGGAGACCAGGGAATCCCTTAGGCTACCTCTGCTCCCCTTTTCCCTATGGTTTTGCCTCATGGTGTCAAAGTATCCAGGGTGTCCAGCAAGGGCCAACCTGTCCTCGGGGATATGGACTAGGGCCTCGCTTAAGAATCTCGGTTTCCAAACCTTCAGGCCTCCCTAGGAAAAGGCCATTTCTGCTTCTTTCTGTGCACAGTGACTTCAAGTTCCGGGCATCTGATAAGACTCAGGAGGAATGGCAGGGCAGGAATCCCAGGCAAAGCCAAAGTAGTTGTAAGAGCTGCCAACTCTTTACATTGTCCCAGAAATCCCTCCAGCCAGGAAATGACTTGGGTTTCCTCAGCCTCCTCTGACTGGACACTCCCCCTGCACTGCATTTTCAGGACAATGGGGCCGCCCCACCATCAGCCTGGCTGGAGTCTTTGGGATCATTGCTGGGGTGGTCTCCTCCATGGTGGAGTCTGTGGGTGATTATTATGCCTGTGCCCGGCTGGTGGGAGCCCCACCCCCTCCGAAGCACGCCATCAACCGTGGCATTGGCATCGAGGGCCTTGGCTGCTTATTGGCAGGAGCCTGGGGGACAGGAAATGGCACCACCTCCTTCAGCGAGAATGTTGGGGCACTGGGTATCACCAAGGTAAGTCTACTGATGGTGGCTCCTGGGGACAGGCTGGGTACCTGAATCTGCCATCGTACCTGCTACTTTCCTGTTGCTTCTGTAGCAAATTAGCATAAAGTGATGGCTTCAAACAACCCAAACTTATTATCTTCTTATTTTGTTCTTTTTAGCTATACATGACAGTAGAATGTATTTTGATATGTCATACATACATGGAGTATAACTTCCCCTTCTTGTGGATGTACATGATGTGGAGTTTCACTGGTCGTGTATTCATATATGAACATAGGAAAGTTATATAAGATTCATTCTACTGTCTTTCCCATTCCCATCCCCCTTCCCCCACCCCATTCCCCCTGTCCAGTCCAATGAACCTCCACTACCCTCCACCCCTGCCTATTGGGAGTCAGCATCTGTATATAGAGAGAACATTAGCCATTTTGGAGATTGGCTGATTTCACTTAGCATGATACTCTCCAGTTCCATCCATTTACCAGCAAATGCCATCATTTCATTCTTCTTTAAGGCTGAGTATATTCCATTGTGTAAGTGGATCACATTTTCTTTATCCATTCATCTATTGGGGGGCACCTAGGTTGGTTCCATAGCTTATCCATTGTGAATTGGGCTGCCATGAACATTGATGTGGCCACATCACTACAGTATGCAGATTTTACATCATCTGGGCATACACCAAGGAGTGGGGTAACTGGGTCAAATGGTGGTTCAAGTACAAGTTTTTGGAGGAATCTCCACACTGCTTTTCCGAGTGTTGCACCAAGTTGCAGTCCCATCAGCAATGTATGAGTATACTTCTTTGCTCCACATCCATGCCAACACGTATTGTTGCTCATATTCTTGATAATTGCCAGTCTGACTGGAGTGAGATGAAATCTCAGTGTGGTTTAATTTGCATTTCTCTAATTGCTAGAGATGATGAACATCCAAACTTACTATCTTAATTGATCTGTAAGCCAGATTTTGGACACTGGCCTCGTGGGCTCAAAGGGAGGCATCAGCCGGGCCATTCTCTGGAGGCTCTGGGGGGACCCATGTCCTGTCCTTTTCTGTCATCCAGCATCTGCAGTGATTGGGCTGTGGCCACTTTCTCCGTATTCCCCTGCCACAGATGGAAAGGTTCTCTGCTTTCCAGAACCAGTGGACTTAGACTGGGCCCACCTGGCTACTCTCCCATTCCCAGGTCCTTAACGTCACCACATCAGCAGAGTCGCTTTTGCCATTAGAGGCAATGTATTCGCAGGTTTGAGGGTTATGACAGGTGCCTCTGCAGGGCCCATGATTCCACTTTCTGTCCTTGACTTTGTTAGACTGTGGCCATCCACAGGCAAAAAGTCTATTTTGTCACTGGTGGGTACTGGAGAGAGTCCTTTCTTTCTGAAGTTTAGGTGGGGCTTCCTTACCTACAGACCTGAGTGATCCACTGTGCATGGCAGCCCCTCCTGATGTCCCCAAGGCACTTCACACACAGTGACTTCTGGGAAGCCCAACGCATGCCCTATCTGACTTTTCCTGCTGTCCTTGTCTTATTTCACCTCACTGGCATGTCCTCCTTAGCTTCTTGCTCACCTGTTGCTTCTGATTTCTCCCCATGGCCCCCTTCCTGTCTCCTTTCATCATCCCCAGTGCCACAGCCTGATCATCTCCCACCTGGATGCTAAAGTAGTGCCTTCCATCCTGTCTTCTCAGGATCTTGCCCATCTACTTCTCATGGCTCCCCATTTTCTACACTATAGTTCAATCAGATCAGCAAGAACTCTTGAGAATGGTGTTTTCTAAAGTGACTTAGAACCAGGTGCAGTGGCACAGCCTGTAATCCCAGTGGTTTGGAAGGCTGAGGCAGGAGGATATCAAGTTCAAAGCCAGCCTTAGCAACAACAAGGCTCTAAGCAACTTAGTGAGACTTGTCTTAAAATAAAAACATAAAAGAGAGCTGGAATGTGGCTCAGTGGGTGAGCATTCCTGAGTTCAATCCCTGCTACCAAAAAAATAAAGTGACTTAGAAAACCATAGTGTTGCTTTGTTGTTTTCTGTATGTTTCTGTGAATTCTGGCAGTGGTCCCAGAGCAAGTCCTGTGAGCCAAGGAGAAATACAGCACCTCCTCCCCCACACCCTGACTTGCCCTGTCTTATGGCTCCCTCAGTGGCTCTGTGTGCATCCTGAAGGCACTGAGTCTTTATAGCATCAGATGTATCTTCCTCTGTGCCCTGTATGACCTCTGGCACAGCTGCAGCTAAAATCTGTGAGCAAATGGTTGAGCCAGCACCCAACCCTACAGCAAGTCCTATGTTCCATGACACCCACTCTGTAAGAGTTCAAAGCCATTCATGCAAGTGAGGGGAACATTTTGTACAGGAGGACCACTAACCCATGCAGAAATATTTCCTTTCCCACTAAGTGGAATAAATCTCATGCCAACAAAAAATATCTCAATAAAGAAAAAAAGGCCATTTTTCTGGACATCATTTCCAAGCTAAGGTCATTAGAGGAAAGGGTGAAAGTAGGAAATAAAGGTACATAGATGAAAACAAGGCTACACTTCAAACATAAGACCCATAAACTGGGAAAGAGGTGAAGGTGCTAAGACCACTCGCTTTTATGGACTCGCTCGCCCCCTTGCGGCCCTTTGAGGTACTGCCCCGTGTTGTGCCTCTCCAGCAATGAGTTCCCACAACTTCTTGATTCTCTCCAAGTCTTGGGGGAAATAAGATTAAAGGCCAGAATTCTCCTGTCAGTTCTGTAGGATGTCCTGCTGCCAGCCCATATGTCATTCGTGTGACTAAAACGGCCCAGGGCTGTATGCAAAGTGTGTGCAGTAATAAGATTGGGGAAGAATTCCATCCTTAGGAGACTAGTGGCAAGTGCAAAGGACATGGGTTGACCCCAACACATCTATCCATGGTGCTTGTAGTCATGCCTCTGTTCTCACAGCTAATTGTCAAGGCTGTAAATAAAACAAAACGTTCTTTGATGTGGTAAGAATTTCTAATGAAGACAGTTAAATAAATAAGCTTTTTGCCTGGAAAGAGTAAAACAGGCAAGTGTACAATCTGCTACTTTATCATGGCATTGATGGACTTTAGTTGAGGCTGGAGTATCTTTTCAAAAGGTTTTAATTGTGGTAAAAAGCACTAAACATACAATTTACTCTGGTAACTGTTATTAGGTATACAATTCAGTAGTGTTTATCATATTCCAATTGTTATATGATATATCTCTAGAACTTTTTCATCTTGCAAGACTGAAACTATATTATAGTATCTATTAGGGTCTTGGGGTAGGTACACGGGAATGAGAGACAGATTTAAGAACTATCTAAATATATTTATCAACACTGGACTTATGAGGATGAGAATATTTGTAATATAGCCCTAACTTCCAAGAATGAAATGGAGCCCCCAAATTGGAGGGTCATTATTTGAAGACTTGTTTCCAACCAGTTCTGGGTTCACAGCTAAAATGAGTGAGAGATAATGAGACCCATTTCTGCCACACGGGCATAAAGGCCTTCCGCCACTCTGGCGGTACATCTGTTGTGGTTGATGAACTGACATCATCATCACTACCCACAATCCACAGTTTACATTAGGGTTCACTTCCAGTGTTGGGTGTTGTACATCTTGCAGATTTAGACAAGTGTATAATGACACATATATACCACTGCAGTATCATACAGATTGTTTTCAGAAGTCATTTCTGCCTCACTGATACAAGTTGTCTCCCAAACCCCAGTTGTGAGCCCTGATTAGCACAACCATTGGTAGTGACAGCAGGGTGACAGTTGTGTGCCCCAGCATTGAGACCAGCTATGTGATGGGTGGATGTTGACCAAGGTCCATGATCTTCACTGCAGGGTGAGCTATTTTTTAAGCCTCTGTAGAAACTGTTTTATTTCAAGATCTAATAGCACTTGTAAGGAGGTAGCCAAACACATTTCTTTAACATTCCAAGACTCCTTGCCACTCGGGGATCTCTATGCAAACCAGGTAACTGTCGGTGAGAAGCAGGTCTGAGATTGGCTCTCAAACCCCCATTCTTAAGCACAGGACCACTGCCACTCCAGAGAAACTAATCCCCTCATGTTCGGGCTTCCTAGGGGATGAGCATTTGGGCCAGCACTTGAAGACACCTATGAGAGGGACAGAGTGGAGAGGTGAGAACAGAGGCTGGGCCCCAAAATCATGCCTTCATTTTCTCTCTCCCCAACCCCGTTTGGGAGCAGAGGGTATGAAGTATGTTCTGGGGCCCAGTTCCTGAAAGTCCATCTCAGCAATGCTCAAGATGACCTGTAACAAGGCCTCTGGGACGTCTGGCCTGCCTGGTTCTCCATCCCCCTCTCCCTGATTGCCACAGGTGGGGAGCAGGATGGTGATTGTCACAGCGGGCTTCGTGCTGCTCCTGATGGGTGTTTTTGGGAAGATCGGGGCTGTGTTTGCCACCATTCCAACACCAGTGATCGGGGGCATGTTCCTTGTCATGTTCGGGATCATCAGTGCCGTGGGGATCTCCAGTCTGCAGGTGAGATGGGCGAGTTGCCTCAGAAAAGTAGCAGGAGCCCAGAGGATGGAGAGGGGCAGAATGGGACAGGGGCTGGGGAGGAGAAGGGAATCCTTGGCCTGGAACCACACTGCTCCCAAATGGAAGAGAGAAATAGCCAGAAATGTCCAACCTTCTGAAAGGTCGTGAAGGAGTGATCTCAGCACCTCTCTCTGGGCCTTCCTCCTGTAGTACGTGGACATGAACTCATCCAGGAACCTCTTTGTCTTTGGCTTCTCCATTTACTGTGGCCTCACCATTCCCAACTGGGTGAAGAAGAACCCCGAGAAGCTGCAGACAGGTGATTGCTCCTCACCTCTCCATTTTGTCACTCCGCTCTGTCTCCTACACAGTCGCCACTCTGGTTGTGGAGCCAGCAGGGACCCAGGGTCCTGTGAACCTATCACTTTTGTCTCATTTTAGGCATTCTCCAGCTGGACCAGGTCATCCAGGTGTTGCTGACCACAGACATGTTTGTTGGAGGATTTCTGGGCTTTCTCCTGGATAACACCATCCCTGGTAGGGCTCACCTGTGAACTGGCAATGTGGATAAATGGGTACAGTCTGAATGATGTGGAGAGCTTCTAGCTGTGATTACTGTGTCAGGCTGGTCACTGGTCATGGCACACCTTCAGTGGGCTCTAGTTCTGGAGATGAGGGTATGGAAGGGTCTGTATTAGTCAGCTTGGGCTGCTATAACAAAACATCCCAGCCCTGGGGGCTTAAACCATTTATTCTCTCACAGTTCTAGAGGCTAGAAATCTGTGATCAGGGAGCTGATAAGTTTGTTTATTTTTGAGATCTCTCTCCTTAGCTTGCAGATGGCCTTTCCTCTGTGTGTGCACATTCCAGGTATCTGATCCTGTGTCCTAATCCTTTCTTATAAAGATGCCATCCACATTGGATTAGGAGTCACCCTAAAGGCCTCTTTGTAACTTAACTACCTCATTGTAATGGTCCTTTCTCCAAATATAGTCATGTTCTGAGAAACTAGTGTTTGGGTTTCAATGAATGAATTTTAAGGGAGAGAGAGTTCAACCCACAGCAGAGCCCTAAATGGGAAATGTACCAGAAGCAGCAGGAAAAAGACACAGCCCTGGCTTTCATGAAGCCTATAATTTAATTGGTGAGAGATCACACATATTCATTCATTCACTCATAGTATTAATGAAATTCCATGAAGCACTTGCTATAAAGCAGGTGCTATGTACCAAGAATACGAAGAGTAGTAAGATATGTCCCTTCTGGAAGTCCACAGGCTAATGGGGAACGAGGCAAGAAAGCAGACAAGTTCGTACTGGGTAATACGTGCTGTGAGGAGCAAATAGAGTGTGCAGGGGTCCAGGGAGCTGATGTGGAAAGCAAGAGGCCCAGTCTCTGAAGGATCTGGGAGCGGCTGTCCAGCAGCTCTCCTCTCTCTCTCTCTCTCTCTCTCTCTCTCTCTCTCTCTCTCGCCTCCCTCAGCCTCTCCTGGAGACCTCTGTGGTAGCATCTGCTTCATGGTGTTCTATTTCACATGGTGACTGTCCACCAAGTGTGAAGTGCATCTGTATATTCCACGCACATTCAAGTGAGGACAAGTCTGCTCGCTAGAGCTGTGGAAAGGGGGTTCCACACGGCTGTGCTGGGCTCCTTGTGAGGCTCTGAGGATGCCTGCAGAGCTGAGCTCTGAATCTTGAGCTGGGCTTGGAGGAGAAGGAGGAGGAAGGAGAAGAGGAGCAGATGTAGGCAGAGGAAGAGGGGACGAGATGGAGGAGGAGGGGTCAGTGGGGGCATGTGCACCAGGGTGCCGAGAAGAGGCCACAGGTCCTACCATGTGGCCACCAGAGCCTCCCTCTGCCCTGTCTGCCCCTGCCATCAGGACCCACTCTTGACTTCTCCTGTCTTACATTAGGAAGCCTGGAGGAGCGAGGCATCCTGGTATGGAATCAAGTCCAGGAGAATTCCAAGGAGACTACTCTGAAGTCCTCGGAGGTTTATGACTTTCCCTGGGGCATTGGCACCAAGTTCTGCACGTCCTCCTATATCCGGGTCCTCCCCTTCTGGCCCAGACTGGACCACAGCGGCAAAGGTGAAGTGGGCATGAGCCAGCTTGCCCACTATTCCCAGGCTTCCTCCAGAAAGCACCTGTCAGGTGCTGTAGAAACCAGGATGTGAGGAGAAGGGTCCTCCTGCATGGCCGAGCCCTGGACAGACTTCTGCCTTTGCAATATGCACCAATCTGCCTTCATGAGCTGGAGGTGCCCACCCTCTCCAACACCTGCGGCACCTGTACACCATGGCAGTCAGGAAGCTTCAGGTTATAATAGTGACCTATGGGCTCTGTCCTGGTCACTCGGTCATTGCATTTGACCTTGACCTGTCCTTCTGCTATTCTCCCAGCTCTGGTGTGGACAGGTGTGGATGCTGTCCACACAGAACTCTGCTCCACCATTGTGCTTTGCAGTGTTTTGAAAGATTGGGAGGAAGAGGCCTGGGTAGGGTAGGGACAGTGGTGGCTGTTTGCTGGAAGGTGACACTGAAAGCGCACTTTATTCCCCTTCACTAATATAGACCCAGTTCTCATAAGTCTCTCTTTGATCCTGTCTGCTTTTTTTTTTTTAAGGATGAGCTGCCACTAAGGGCTATCTTTGAAGATTCAATGCACACTAAAGTTTGGTAGGAAGTCACCAAACCCAGCACTCTCTAGTCCCAAGTTATGGGAGAAGATCACACCTAGAAGTGTGCTGGCTGGAAATACCGCCCCAACACAACAAAAATCAGGCACACGTCACTTATTTTTTTAATTTTTTGGTACTTGAACCTAGGACTGCAGACTTGCTAAGGAAGCACTCAACAACTAAGTTACATCCCAACCCTCTTAACATTTTTTTTTAAATTTTCAGACAGGATCTCACTAAATTGCCTAGACTGGGTTCAAAACTGTGATCCTCCTGCCTCAGCCTCCTAAATAGCTGAGGTCATGAGCATGCACCGCCACACCCGGATCATAACTCACTTTAATGAACACAGAAACATTGATCATTTATGTCTTCCTCAGATCCACTGGCCACAACTCTCACTGACTTGGGTGAACAAGATAAGATGTATGTAACCCACATAGCAGAGGAAGCTACTTCCTGAAATACTGGACAACTGAGACACCCACCTGTCTGGGACCCATTGACCTTCCTGGAAATATCATAAAAGGTTCTTCTGCCAAGTGCAGTGCCACACATCTGTAATCCCAGCAACTGAGGAGGCCAAGGCAGGATGATTGCAAGTTTGGGACCAACCTGGGCAGCTTAGCAAGACACTGTCTCAAAATAAAAGATAGAAAGGCTGGGGGTGTAGCTCCCCTGAGTTCAATCCCCAGTAGCAAAAACAACAACAATAACAACCCCAAACTCACTTAGGTCAAGGGATAAGATTGAAAGTCAGAGCCGACCATCTTCCAACAGTGCCTGGTTCTTGTTAATAAAGCTCTTTCTCCATCACTCTGCCTCTGGATTATCCACTCTACTAGGTGGCAGGGAGCTACACCTTGTGTGGTGACAAAGTGAACAAGTTTTTTCTTCTCCAAAGAGACCAGAGCCTGCAGCCTCTGCCACAGTCTGGCTGGGCACAATTCAGGAGCCACTTATCAAGCAGAAATGAACTTTATTTTTAGAACACACACACTGCACCACACAAGCTCTTCATGAATTCCCTCAGAGCCCAACTGCCACCACCAGCTTCCCACAAGCCTCTCCACCCCCCCACTCCTCCTGCTCTTGAGGCCAATTCGCTGGGTCACATGGGCGGAGCCAAAAAAAGTCCCCCAATGAGCAGCTCTGTGGTCTGAAAGGGCAGGGAAACAGCCCAATGAGCATTACAACAGTGGAGCCAATCAGCTGGCAGCTAGAAGTTTGCTGGGGCCGCTGTGAGCCAATCATCAGCTGGCAGCTGGAAGTTTGCTGGCAGGTGGAAGTTTGCTGGGGCCCCTTCGGCTGTGGCTCTCAACATCTCCCCCTCTCTGTTTAAACAACAAGCATGTGGCTTACAGACCGTGCCTGCCTTAGGTTGTCCAATACTACATATGGTCCTCACCCGTCATCAGATGAGCTGACCTCAAGGCATCAGCCTCCTGTCTTAGGTTGGTACCTTTGCAATTGGATCTTACCCATCATTGACTACCGGTCCAGCATACAGCCACACCTGTGGATAGGTCTTTGTACCAGCTGGGGGGGGGTGAGATTCTTTTCCTCACCTCTGTTGGCCCCCAAATTTTAGCAGAACGACCATCACAAGCAGAAGGGAGGAGGATACACCATGCCAATTGACGGCTCCTTTTGGAAAAATTGTATCACTGATGACACCATCAGCAAAAATACCACAACACTACCATAAGTCGCTGCACCAACAGATAGTTCACAAGGCATACAAGTGAGTTCACAATGCATACAAGTGATACATAGTCCAGGCAAGTTCTGCAAGCAGTTTAGTGATAGCTATTGCAGAAGCCATAGATTGGTTTTATCTTTGTCTTCACCGGCACTGGGATGAAGATAGGAATTCTGGCAATGATGGCTAAAGAAAAAATTATGTAACATTCCAGAAGGCACTAAAAGAAAACAATTTTCTGAACAATTTACATTATCTTGAACAGAATAATTAAATATTATGAAAAAGAAAGGTGAAAGTAAACAAACAGATCTGTTAACCTCTTTTTTTTGTTCACATATTAAAACAATCCTCAACAGCTGTTTACCCAATTTAAATTAAACCATTTAAATCACGTGAATAAAATAAAAAAAAATTTGGATCCATTTTTATCATGAGCGCTCATCATATATGATATATGGACATATGTACATACAAACATACAACCCAAAACACAAATGTGCACACATAATATAATACATACAACACATAACATAATAGTAAAGGCCTTATAACTTTTTACAGGTGAAATCTCCATTTCAATGTTTAAAAATTCTATAGTCAAAAAATAGAACTGATCAGCAAAACATTAACCTAGGTCTGTATGTGCTCAAAAAACAAAATAGAACATCATGATGTGGGAAAGGGCAATAATAAAATAGATATTGAAAACAGCATCCTGGTTCTGTTGCAGATGTAAGGATAGCCAAACTGGAGTTCTGGATATCAGCTGTTATGGATTTGAGCCAAATCATCTTCTTTTTGGTCTGTAGAAATCGCTTTAGTTAATCTCTCTGGAATCCAAATCAGCTGCTGTTCTCCCTGTGGAAACACACGAACAGACCTCCGACTCCAGACAATTACTGGGTCAGGACCTTTCCACTGTCCTGTTAAAATATCCTTCAAAAGTACCTTGGGCTTATGTACATTTTTTGGACACATATGCCTTTCTGCAGCACTAAGCCCTGATGAATCCAAATTTTAAAAGTTTAGAGTAGAAAGAGTTATTTTAAGTTGATCTTTGGGGAATATATACCCCTTTCCAATTCCGTCTTTTTGCTTTAATAAGTACATTTTAATAGTTTGATGAGCTCTTTCAACTATGCCTTGTCCCTGTGGATTGTATGGGATTTCTGTTGTATGAGTAATGCCAAATGATGAGCAAAATTGTTTAAAAGAGGTAGAAGTATAACCAGGGGCATTATCTGTTTTTAACTGTTTTGGAACGCCCACAGTGGCAAAATTTTGTAAGCAATGAGCTATAATATCTTTAATTTTTTCTCTGGCATGAAGGGAGCCCATCAAAAATCTGGAAGAAGTATCAACTGTAACATGCAAATATTTTAATTTTCCAAATTCTGGCAAGTGTGTCACGTCCATCTGGCAAATATGGTTAGGTATCAGTCCTCTAGGATTGACTCCAAGATTAACTTGTGGTAAAAAGGTCACACAATTTTGACATTGTTTTATTATTTGTCTAGCTTGTTCCTTAGTTATTTTAAAATGTTTTTGTAAAGTACTAGTATTGACATGGAACCTTTTATGAAAATTTATAGCTTCTTCTATTGTAGAGAAAATATGTATGTCATGTGTAGTTTTATCTGTTAAATCATTGCCCAAACTAAGGGCTCCAGGCAATCCTGTATATGCCCTGATATGTCCTATAAAGAATGGATCTTTTCTGTCCCAGATTAGACTTTGTATAGTGGAAAACAAAGAGAAAACAGTAGAGGAAGGGGAAATCCTACCAGCATCTTCAAGGGATACTATAACATTAACTATATACTGACTATCAGAAAATAAATTAAATACAGAATCTTTAAACATCACAAAAGCTTGTGATACTGCATTAAGCTCTACCTTTTGAGCTGATTGTTTGGGTACTAAAAATGTAAAAGTTTGATCAGGGGTAACTACTGCTGCTGTACCATTATTTGACCCATCAAATGAATACATTTGGAGCATTCATGATAGGTGTTTTTCTTGTCATTTTTGGAAAAACTACAGGATGCAAAGACCAAAAAGACAACAAAAGATTAGATGGTAACTGATTATCAAATGAAACATTAGATTTGCACATGATTATTGCCCAAGTATTTAACTCATTAGCTAACTCATCAATTTGATTCATAGTATATGGAGTAATAATTTTATTGGGAGAATTTCCAAACATTCTTTTTGCTGCTTTTATTCCTTTGAGTATTAATTGTCCTACATCCTCAGGATACCTAGTAAGAATAGTGTTAGGAGAATAAGATAAATGTATCCATAATAATGGACCTTCTTGCCAAAATATTCCTGTAAGAATATTTTTTGTTGGTAGTATAATAAATAATAAAGGCAAACTTATATCAATTATATCCAAATGCATATTTTCCATATATGTTTCAATGATTTTTAATGCCTCTCTTGCTTCAGGCGTTAACATTCGGGGTGAATTTGGATCTGATGGATCTTTTAGGATATCAAATAAAGATCCCAACTGTCCTATTTGTATACCTAGATAAGGCCTTATCCAATTTATGTCTCCTAATAACTTTTGAAAGTCATTAAGTGATTTGAGTTGATCTACTCGTATTTGAATTTTTGGTGGACGGACCATAGTTGAGGATATTAGAACTCCTAAGTAATTAATTGGAAAATTTAATTGTACTTTATCTATTGCTATCTGTAGATTATAATTTTTTTAATAAGTTTGTAAGTGTGGCATAACATTCTAGCAATGTGTTTTTATCTTTGTGTGCTAATAATACATCATCCATATAGTGAAATATTTGTAGTTCAGGATTTTGATTTCTAAGTGGCTGGATTACGTTGTTAATATAAATTTGACACATAGTTGGGCTGTTAGCCATCCCTTGAGAGAGTACTTTCCATTCATTTCTCTGATCAGGACCTTCATGATTCAGTGCAGGGATAGTAAATGCAAAACATGGATTATCCTCAGGATGAATTGGAATTGAAAAAAAAACAATCTTTAATATCTATAGCTAAAACATACCAGGTTTTTGGCAAAGCAGGCAATTGGGGAATCCCTGATTGAGCAGGTTCCATAATAACCATCTCATTATTAATGGCTCTTAAATCTTGCAATAATCTCCATTTACCAGATTTCTTTTTGATGACAAAAATGGGAGCATTATGGGGAGATATGGAAGGTTGTATATGTCCCTCCGCTAATTGTTGTTTGACCAGGTCATGGGCTGTTTGTAACTTTAGTCAGGGGCCACTGAGGAACCCATACTGGTCTTTCTGATTTCCAAGTAATTTTTATTGTCTCAGTGACCTCTCCTGAAAATCCAATACATGTCTGTCTGTTCCTTGATCTATTTGTATTGGTGCTGCTATACCTTGTTCTTGTTCTCCTAATATTTTTCCTTTCCTAAAACCTTATCTAGCCATAATAGTGGGTGCATTTGGATTGATGTTATTTGTTAATGTTAGTCCTAATTGATCTAGGACATCTCATCCCCATAAATTTACGGAAAGATGATCCAATACATATGGCTGTATAGTTCCTTCACATCCTTAAGGAGCCTTCCTATCTAATACCATTGCACTTCTATGGGGATTAGTCACCACTCCTAGGCCTCGGAGCGTTTGAGTGGCTTGTTTAATGGCCAATGTTTTGGCCAATCTTGACGAGAGATGATGCTAAGGTCTGTACCTGTATCCAGTAGCCCATTAAATTCATGTCCTTGAATATTTAGTTTTAGCATGGGGCGAGAATCTAAATTTAAAGACAGCATAGCCCAATCTACACCTGTGGAGTCTAATCCCCTGAAACCTCTTTCTACACTATGACTGGAAAATTTATCATGTAGGCTGGGTATTATTAGTAACTGTGCTATTCTATCTCCTGGTGAAATTACTGATATACCCTTTGGAGAACTGGCTATAATTTTTATTTCACCTTTATAATCAGGATCAATTACCCCAGGACTTATCATGAGTCCTTTTAGAGTAGAAGAACTGTGTCCCAATAATAAGCCTCCTGTTCCTTTCGGAAGAGGTCCTTTTACCCCTGTGGGAATGATTTGAACTCCCATCTCTGGAGTTAGTACTGTTCTGGTGGAGGCACAGATGTCCAATCCTGCGCTTCCTCTGGTTTGTCTAGTGAGGGATCTAATGGACAATGTGTCCTGGGCACTTCCCTGATGGTGTTCCTGGGTTCCTCCAGTGCCCCATATATTTGTGGTCATGGGCCCCGGAGCATTGGTTCCCCCTGTCCATTTTTTGGCAATGGAGCCCGATGCCTTTCTCCATGATATCGTGGATAGACACCTGGTCCTTGTTCAGTTTTTGATAACGGAGTACCCTATATGGTGGTTTGAGAACGGCATTCATTAGCCCAATGTCTCCCTCTATGGCATCGTAGGCAAATACCTGGTATTCTACTCCTTTGATACCTAGTTTTGTTAAACCCTCCTCCTATGGGGCAATTCCTTTTAAAATGTCCTGTTTGTTCACAATTGTAGCATATTTTTGGCCTGGCATCTAAAACCTTTCCTGCTACTGCTGCCAGGACTTCCGTTGTTCATTAATGTCTCTACATAATTTAATATATGTGTTTAAATCTTCATGTTTCCATGGTCTAATGACTTCTCTGCACCAACGATTCGCTTGCTCATAAGCCAGTTGTTTTATTAATGGCATTGCTTGTTCTGTATTCCCAAAAACTCTGGTAGCTGTTTGAATAAGCCTATCTACAAATTCAGCGCAAGGTTCATTAGCTCCTTGTATTACCTTAGATAATTGACCCTGTAAACCTCCATGTCCTTATAAAGTCTTCCATGCCCTAACCGCATCTCCAGCAATTTGTGAGTATATGGCAGGAATATATGCAACTTGTTGCTGCTGACCCTCATAAGGTCCCTTTCCTAACAACATATCTAGATTTCTCTGAGGATAACCAGCTGCTGCATTTCGCCTAGCCGTCTCCTTGCAAAATTCCTCATTGGCAACCTTCCATAACAGGTATTGTCCTCCATTTAGCACAGCTTTACACATACTAGCCCAATCTGCTGGCATTATGTTCAAGTTGGTAATGGATTCACCATGCTTACAGTGAAGGGTGCTTGAGGACCATAAGTTGTTACAGCCTCTTTTAGCTGCTTCACTGTTCTGAAATCTAAAGCATGGTGAATTCGCTGCCCTCCTGCCTGCTTAAATACAGGGCATGTTAATATTTGAGGTCCTGTCTCAGGATCCCATCTATCAACTGCGGGGGTTGGGGGCCTTCCAGCATATGGAGGTGGCGCTGTTGGTTGGACACTTCTGCCCTCTGGTGATAGAAAGGTATTAGTAGCAGTCTCCTGTTGTAACATTTCCCCTGATGGCTTTTTCTGCTCTGAACTTTCTTCCTCTGTCTGACTAGCTCGAGAGACCTTCTCTTTTACTTGAATTTTTTCCTCTGTCTGACTAACTTGAGAGAACTTCTCTTTTATTTGAATCAATATGTCTTCTCCTTCCTCTACCATTGTCTGAACTGAAGGCTTTGGACTAAGCAAATAAAATACGAACGTCCACAATGGCAATGTGCCAACTGGCAGAGTCCCTGGGCTTTTCTTTTCTATTCTTTTTAAATCTTCACCATGATGGTTCCATTGTGATATATTTAACAACTCCTCCTTAAAAAGCCATGGGCTACATTTTTGTATTGTATCAACGTATGCCCTGACTGTTCTTGATTTTACTGAGATGCCTCCTTCCTCTAACAATTTACTTAACACTCTTTCAGTTTGTTTTTTACTAGTTTCTGATCCCATATTTCTACTATAATACAACCCAACAAGATAACGCCAAACAAAACTGAAACAGAATGAAACAAAAGTGGAACAACAAAAAATCATTATAATAGCCTTTCTATCCTCCTGAAACACCCATCCGTCCTTTCTCCCTATCTGTTCCTCAGACACAAATAGTTTTTCCTCAAATGTGAGCGGTTATTCTTTCGTCTTACACATCTCCAAGGACAGGCAACTTAAAACAAAAGTGAAACAAAACAAAAGAAGAATCTTAAAATGGCTACCCATCCTCTCGCCCTGCCTTCAGGGGCGAGCAGTTTACCTTATCACTTACCCTCTGTCGTTCCCCGTGTGGGCCACCAAAGGCCGCAGTCTGGCTGGGCACATTTCAGGAGCCACTTATCAAGCAGAAGCGAACTTTATTTTTAGAATACACATGCCACACCACACGAGCTCTTCAGGAATTCCCTCAGAGTCCAACTGCCACCAACAGCTTCCCACAAGCCTCTCAACCCCCCACTCCTCCTTCTCTTGAGGCTGATTGGCTGGGTCGCGTGGGCAGAGCCAAAAATGTCCCCCAATGAGCAGCTCTGTGGTCTAAAAGGGTGGGGAAACAGCCCAATGAGCATCACTGCAGAGGAGCCAATCAGCTGGCAGCTGGAAGTTTGCTGGGGCCACTGTGAGCCAATCATCAGCTGGCAGCTGGAAGTTTGCTGGGGCCGCTGTGAGCCAATCATCAGCTGGCAGCTGGAAGTTTGCTGGGGCCCCTTCAGCTGTGGCTCTCAACAAGCCTCTCCATCAGTTTCCCACCTGGACCTCCCTTCAAGGCTGGTGTCTGGGAACCATCGAGAGCACACTGTTCCTCCTACACCTCCTCCCAGTTACTGCCCCTGTCCCATACAGCCCTGCAGCCTGGTCTTATTTAAGTTGAGTTAAAGAAGGACAATATCCAGCAGGCCTGCATGGCTCTGTCACACATTATGTTCCCTGTTCTGCTCACAGTCTCCCCTTCGTATCCTCACTGCTCTTCAGCCTCCCTCCAGGAGTGAACACATGCCTGGACACCTGAGATCCAAGGAGTATTGGACATCAGGCCCCTTCCAGGTAGGGCAGAGTTTACCAAGTCAGGAGGCCAGGTCCAGGAGTGGGAGACAGGAATGAAACCTCTGCCAGGCTAGTGTGGGCTACAGGCTGCTAAGGAGTTGAGCTCAATTCTGCTGCCTGAGGGATTTCCAGAAAATTCCACTGTTTCCCTGGAGGACTCAGGCTTTTGCCCTCAGGTTTTGATAAGCACTGGGTCCTGCTAACAAGAAAAAGATCCAGGTCCTCTCCCAACCCCTCATTCCCCATCAAGAATGCTACCTTCCTTTGGCCAAACCCACTCCTCCAGAAGAAAGAAGGGCAGAAGTTTGGCTCTGGGGGTGGGGAAGGGAAATGTGATGCTGTTTCAGAGAACACTGCATTTCTATGAGGACCTCCTCAGCCTCCTCCCCTCCCACCATTGACTCATCTCTCCTCGGCATTGGATGGGGGAGTTGGCCTCTGTAATGCATTCTCTGAGGTTTAGTAATTTCTATTCTCCCATCAAAGTCCCTCAGGGAGGCGAGCAGTCTCCACCCCTCTTAGTGTTGATAGCTCAGTTGTCACTTAAAATATAATGGATAGGGGGCACAAGGAAGATTGCCACTTAAAATGAGGGGTTGAGAAGGTGACATGTGGGTTAAGTGTGATACACTGAGTCTCATGGACCCGAGTAATGATCATGCTCCTAAGAACCCTCCTGCATGGCACCAGTGTCTCAATTGCTCGGCTGCCCCTGGAATGCTGCAGGAGCGGTGCTAGCCTGCTGGGCTTGAGTGCTGAGCGCTAAGTACATAAGGAAAGAGGAACATAACAGACAGCACCCCAGAAGATGATCCAGCTGAGCATACCTTTAAAATCATCTGGCACATAGAGTCACTGTGGCCTGGTAGGAACATGAGTTGTCAGAGCCATCCAGAGGTGGTCACGGCCTCTGAATTCCCTGCTGACGTGCATGAGATCTCTGTGGATTTAGTCAGGGACCCTTGGCTGCAAAGAAAAGAGAAAAGCTCAACTCAAAAAAGAGGGGATGGGATTTATTGATTCTTGTCACTGGGAAGGAAGGAACCTGGGAGAGGTCACAGAACCAGAGCAGGATCCTAAGATGAATCAGGGCCTGAACCCTGAGACCTAAGTCTTCTCTCTCTCTCTCTCTCTCTCTCTCTCTCTCTCTCTCTCTCTCTCTCTCTCTCCATCCCTGCTCCACACACACCCTCTGTCCATCTCCCCTTCTCCTTCTGTCTGCCTATTGGCCTCATTCTCAATTACCCCAGCTGAGGGTGATGGTCACAAGACCCCAGGTGTGGAACTTCCCCTGTGACTGCAAAGACAGAAGAAAAAGCTGCCTTATGTTGGGCATGATGGCACTTGTGTATAATCCTGGCTACTCAAAAAGCTGGGGCAGGAGGATCCACAAGTTCAATGCCAGCCTCAGCTGAAAGAAGATGCAACGTGAGACAAATCACCAGAGAAGTTCCACTTTATTACAAAAGGCTGTGGGCTTATGTAGATCTAAGGAGAGGTGGCAGGGCTTAGGTAAATGACAGGTCACCCATTTATTGGTAAGTTTTTCCAGATGTCAGTTCCAGAGCCCACGAAATCAGTTCTTATTGGGGCTAAGGTTTCCCGCCGGCAGGAGTGAGCATTGGTGCTGGCGGGAGTTTTTGGCGCAGGCGGGAAAAGGAGAGGCAGGAAGAGAAGCTCCTCAGGCGCCATGTTGGGGTTTTTTGGGGTGTGGCTGCCATTATACCTTTTCCCAACATTCCTCCCTTTTTGTTTTCTTAGGAACTGGGGCGTCGTTGGTCAGATCTGGCTGCTTCCTGCTGTGTGGGGGTGGCATGGGACCTAGAAGGGGGACGTGGATGAATGTTCGGGGAGGCAGGTCCGGGGATACCATGGTAACCAGAAATATAACCCAGTGGCTATAGACAGCTACTTTGGTAGGGGTGAATTCTATAAAAGTTCCCTGAAGCCACAATTCGTTGATGGCATCAAACCAGTCCTGGATGGAGGAGATTGTTGGCATCAGCCACTGGTCCTTTAACAGAGACTCTAGGAAATATTGGAAGCTTTGCCTCGACATGGCATCACCAGCACCTGAAGAAGATCAGAGCGAACAAAAACAGGATGAAGATAAAAATTAAAGCAAAGGTCAGTTTCTGGCAGAAGTTCCATCTTGGGGGTCTGACAGAGAAGAGTCCAAGGGCCATGAGGAGGCATATAAGGACATAAAGACTCAAGAATCCAGGGTGGCAGACTAAGAGGTTCTCCGGGTTTCTTGCCTCCCGCTGTCCAATGTCCGTTGCATTCCATCATGCCTGGTAGTAATCTTCAGTACTGGGTGAGCTGTTCTCTTGAAGATGTTGGGGGTTCATCGGTCATCAGAGGCCGGTAGTGCCTAAGCAGAAACTGGTTGAAAGTTTGATTGGATATTTTGTTAATTTGTCCTTGAAGGAATTTTAAAATGCAAGGAAGGAAGGCACGGAGCAAAAAGACCCCAACCAGACGTCCCAGTATTGGTCCAGTGGCTGATGGGGTTTGTGAAGAGGTCCCAAAAGGATTTTTGCACCGATTGCTGCTTTCTTTGTTCTAGTTTTTCTTGTAACTGTTTAATTTTGTCTTTCACTATGCCTGACTGATTAACATAAAAACAACATTCTTCCTGTAAGAACAGGCAGAGGCCTCCTTTCTCTAAGTATATCTAAGCCTCAGTGGTTTTGTAAGACCACTGTCACTAGGGAATCTAATTGATT